TAATGTATTAAATGAACTTAGGTTTGTTAAATAATCAATTACTTAAAATATTTTTCCAAATTTCATAATCAAGATAGATAAGTTATATAATAATGTATGTCTCTCTTCAATATTTCAAGATATCATCAAAATAGTTTTCCATAAGCTATGAAAAATATCAACAATTAATATTTTGTAGCAAAAGTAAATATTATATACTAAAAACGAGACGGTTTTTATCGATCATCTCAACGATATCAATTCAATAGAATAGACTTATTATTGTTGCTCATATTCAATTCTAAAACTGTCTTCGTACTACTACTGATTAGATTCTAAAATGTTTATGTATCGCACATATATCATACATGTGTATAAACTATTTTTGTCTTACCATATTTCCTTAAACTTTAGTTAAATGACCATTAATTATAAAATACTTTATTTATAGTCTGTTTTATGTTAAAAAAATTAAGTGTAATCGAGAATAAGGAACAAAAAAAATGATAATTTTCTCTTTTGTTTGTTTGAAGACAGTAAGTATAATTAAAGACTCATTTCATATTTATGGCAGAGGGTACCAAACAGATGGTTAGCGTATATTCGAAAAGAGGACTGATAGTTATTTTTGACTCATGCGCATTCTAATTTACCTTTTATTTAAAAAATGTAACTTATATAGTGATAAAAAAGAAAAATTAAATACATTTACTTTGAATTGAGAAAGCAACGAGCGCGTTAGACGACTTTACTTGCATTTCGAACTGTAATTTTGTTAACAGATTGTTTTGAACAACATATCTCTATGTAAGTATGTATAAAATAGAGACTTATATTATGGCTCAAGAAAACGTTACCTAAACTCGAGAAGAATATTTTTTTGAACGAAAAATTAACACTTATCTTCTTAGACAAAACGGCTTGTCCGACAACATTTTGATACGGAAAGGAAGGGTCCATCACGCTTTTCGTTCGTTTTCTCTTCTTTATACGTTTCGAATGAGAACACGCCCTAAGCTCACGTTTGTTTTATTTTACGCATAAAAGTGTGTTTAATAAAATAAAACATTTCCGAGCTCTGTGCGATACTTCGTTCCGAAGATATGTAAAGAAATTCGCTACACTTGTTTGTGTTCTTTAAAAATCGATATGCCTTAACTTTCTTTTCGAAAAAACTTTTTCTAGCTCATCTTGTATCATCTCTTTGTTCTCCTTGCACTTCTCTACTTAATACTCGCCATTTTTTATCTTATGCGTACGAAACAACAGATATTGTTTTTAACTAGCGCCCAAGAGATGATCACGTGTCTATTTTCTAAAACTGCGTAAACATAATAGAGCATGTACAAAATCAGAATTTGATCATTGACGCTGAGCTTAGTCCACGCCGTGAACGGTTGAATCCGAACCTGAGATGACCCAATAACATCCAGCTTGATCCTATGTTCGAATTCGGATCAGCTTGCAAGTTTCTAATACAAATAAGTAATTTTAGTGTTGTTAGAATCGATCTAGATGTTGATATCGACCTTGATGCTATGTTTTCGGTTATCAAGAGAGAATAATTCTCCGCTGTTTAGCTGCTGCAACATTTATATAAATTCAACGTTTTCAATTGCGTTTTGCTTAATTTTATAGTATAGAAGTATCAAAGGGGCATACAACGTTACGAAGAAATTTCTTGTTTGTACAGCATATGATCTGATAAATATGTACCGATACTAGTAATATCGATCCAAAAGCTATCGGATATCAACTACTTCCTACCGCTGTGATCTTGGGTCTGTACTTTGCATTACAGACTCTTTCAATGAGTGTCAATTTTAGCAGCAAATCGCTGCTATGGAAAACCTATATCGAGTCTAGTGTGATTGATTGAGATTTCAGTGAATAAAAAAGCTTTTTTATTCCCGAGTAGCACCCGTTTTCTCTACATACTGTCTGAGAAAAAACTGACACATAGAAAAAAAAAGCCCTGATTTCAAGTCGAATTATCACCTGGCATTACTGGATACCGGTGGTCTTTCGGCAATTGGTTCCGTATTATCGATAATCGCTATTATCGGCAGTACGATATCGTCTCAGATACATGTCTAGTCTACTGGAATACACGATATCTAGTCGTGTTTACTGAAATACTTTTTACTATTTTTTGCTAGTAATGTTAACCTGTTTTCGGTTGTAAGATAACTCTTCATATATTACTAAAGTTTTAATATATAAAATATTATTTTGATGTTGTCTAGATAGTTCAACAAAATTGTTCACCTGTATACATAAACAACCAGCAATCATCATCCTCAATCACTACTCAGCAAAAACAATCGATATCACCATCATCAAATTATAATCAATTACATAATACCTCACCAATTAAATCTCTAACAGATGGGGATACGGTAACATCATTACTGAACACACCGACATCATCAACATCCACATCATCGTCGGTGAGTGCAGTATTAATAAACAATCCAATATGTCAATTAGATAACCACTTATTACTGAAAAACAGTAATTTAATTACACCACAAGAACAAACACGCCAACAATTTATTCAACCGTTCAATTATCATTGTCATTATTATCAACAACAACAACATCCTTTTCTGTACCAACAACGCCATCAGTATCGTTGTGAAACAAATATGATTACGAATCACGATAATAAATCAAATGGTAAGCACACTATATCCCTGTTGTAACTTGTTTACTTTCATTGGATATTATCGTTCATGTATACCGTTGTCTCTATTTTTTCCTTTTATTAGAACAACATATCATACATGAAAGTCTCATACCAACAAATCTATCGCCACAGCAATCATCCATTAGTGATCTTGATGAAACTACACCTCCAAAACTAGTAAGTAATGTAAAGCTAGAATTTTTCTAAATGTTAACCATTGTTTCATTCAATTACCTTTCATTAAGAATATAGCCATAGCTAAAATAATAAAAAAGAAAAAACCGCCAAAGAAAAAACGAAAAGATCCAAATGAACCGCAAAAGTAGGTTATAATTTGGATAACATGTGCTTTGTATCAATATGCTATTTTAAATACTTAGACCTGTTTCACCCTATGCATTGTTTTTTCGTGATACTCAAAATGAAATCAAAAAGAAATTAGCAAATCCAACATTTGGGTATGATTAATTCACATTTATTTTTTTCACTAGTCCTTTTTAACTCCAATATCTTTTATTAGTGAGATTTCCAAAGTGGTTGCACACATGTGGGAAAACATTGAACCGGAAGTCAAAGAGGTAAACTGAGTTTAAAAATGTATAATAGTTAGAAATAGCTACTTTTTTTCCCTTTATTTTAGCAATACAAACGAAAAGCAGCGGCAGCTAAAAAAGAATACTTGAAACAATTGGCCGCTTATCGTGCCGTACAAGTTTCTCATCAGGTAAAACTGCAAATCATCCTTATTATCATATTCATTAATACTATTACACAAAATTTTTAAAACAAAAAATACCGTTGAACACAATTTAGTTAGATAATTTGTAGGAAATAAGCACGTTACATCATCGTGTGCACAATTCGTTTTTTCCTTCTTTTAGACACCCTCCATGCATCTTCTTGGTCCAAATACAAGTATTTATAATTCAAATCCACCTCCGTCTGTTCAAAATTTTTCTCAAACGTCACGAAATGAAAATAATCATCTTGGTCAACATCATCATGTTGTCGAACAACAACGATTTGGTTACCATCGACCACATCAGTCTCACATGCAACATGCTCCCACATTTTGTAATCAAATTTCAGCCTATAATCGTGTTAGTTCTCCTTCGCTTATTCAAAAACAACAACAACAACATCCCTATCATCATTATCATGATTATTTAGTAGGTAGCTCAACACCAGTATCATATCTCAATGAATCTTTACCACAAAATAATAACAACAATTATTCTTACACAAATGGTGAAAGTCAGATGTATCATCAATCACATCAATTTGAAACAGCATTCCAGTGTGATATGACTTATGATCAACAACAACAACAACAACATTTTGGTCTCTTGAGACCAGTTGATTGCGGTGAATCATTTTATTGTGTCGAGGAATCTGAGAATCAAACTCAGCAACAAACGCTCACTAATTGTGGTGAAATATCGAATCATAATTTATTACATGATTTAACTACTTTGACGCCTGTTATTATCAATCCAAAACATTACACCGATTTGAATCCATCAACTGCATCAATAAAATGTTCTCCATCGATGCAAAACTGTGCCGGCGATAAACAAAATTTTATAACAAATTATCAAAATAATCTCATTAAATGTGAAGATTTTAATCAAACAAGTGTTGACTCAGTTAATGGAAATTATTACGCTGTCTATAATGCAGATCAAGGAGGAGCTAAATCAGAGGGAGATATAAAAAAGATATATGGCGGACAAAAAGAGGATTCAACACGATCATCGAACGATTATCACGGATGGAATAACTCTTGTTTAGCTCTAAATGCTCCATGGTAGACAAAACTTCTATAAAAATAACTAACATCTGTTGTTTCAAAAAAGATATTCGAGCTTTTTATTACAAAAACAAGTTACTTTATAAATTATTTGGTTTTTTCCAACAGAATTTTGATCTGTTGTTTGCATACGCATTAGAAAAGATAAAGACTTTCTCTTCTATCATTTCCTGAATAAGCGAGCTAAAAATAGTAACGTCCGTTTTGATTAATGTCATAAATAGTTTGAAACTATTTTCGAGTAAACATCCGTGTTAGGAAATAAATGAAATAATTGGATGTTGATATTTAGTTTGCTTCTAGAAGTTTGGCTCGGATTTTATTTTAGATAATTTTATTTTATCACAAAAGAAGGTCTGTCTGTTTGTACACTTTCTAATAGACGGTGAACTTCAGAGTATTGGACTCATCAGACCAATCAACGCACCGAGTATGCATTTAATTGAGAATTGACAGATGAAAGAGTCAGTGAAACTGTTGATGCTTTATACAGTTTTGTAATATTGATCATAGAAAATACATTATACTTATAGATAGAAGTCAAATGCATAATTTATTAAAAGATTAGAGAAAGATGTTTGCTTGTGTTCTCTGCTAAAAAGTCTGAATAATATAACAAAGAGGTTACAAGTCTATTTGAACTTAAATAATGATAATACAGTTTCTCAGATTCTTCATAATTTGGCTTTAGTTCTGCTGATTGAAAAAGTCGAATAGCACATATAAGATAATTTTGTATCATGAGTTAATGTTGGATATTAGGACGATAGATTTTCTCGAATACCAAAAAATAATTTGAAAATAATATTTTTTACAATGATAATTTGTAGAGAACATTACGGTATTCACACGTATGTTACGGTATTTACTACTATATGACAAGTTTTTGCAGAATAATGAAATTTTTCAGTACAAAAACTCAATCATTTATAACGCATAGATTTTTGTTATTGAAACTTTCGTTACTCTTCGACTACTTGTCAGTTATTGGTAAGAATTTATGTTTTCGTACTATTTATAAAAAGACTGTGTTTTATTAAAAACGTGAGAGACACTTGGAAGCGTCCTCTCGTCAGAATATCTATCGAACAGCAACGATGATGAAACTGAAAACTCGCACTGATCGAAAATTAAATACATAGTTATAGAAATTGAGCGTTTATCCATAGAAAAATTCTTTTTTTGAACTAACGTTCAAAGATGTGTGGTCATTTTGAGCCGCAGTTTTAATCTGTGTGTAGACTATGATGTCTTCTGTATATACTGAAGCTCAACATCTTAAAGCGTTATGATTTTATTGAAAAACGACGAAAAATGATATCGTCTCTTTCTAAACAAAAAACTGACCGTACGCAAGGAAAGAAGTTGTGTTCTGCGTATTCTGTATACTGTTTTTAACATGTGTTTTTGATTTCTTCTAAAAACTGTTGTTCTGTGTATATTGTTGGGTGCTCATGCGAAATGATTACTCGTTATCATACTTTTTTATGAAAAACGTATCAACAAAAATCATTTGACTACTGTAATACTGTTGTGTAGTCTGATAAATCAAAACTTAACTTGCTTGAACCGAACGAGAGAGTTATGATATGAAGAACAAAAGAAGAACGGTACAATTCCAACGGTGATATATGGCGAAGTTAATATGAAGATATGGGACTATTTTGCTGTAATTTGGTGCTTATAAGATGGTAATATGAGAGAACAAATGTATAAACAAATATTGGAAGAAGAATTTGAAACAATTAGCGAAATATTTGTTTGAAGCATAAGATGGTATTTCAACATAATAATAAGATAAAATATACTTCACAATTTGTTAGACAATGGCTGAAGGAAAAAGTTATTAATTGCTTAAATAGCCGCGTTATAATTCTGATATAAACACTATCGAACATATATGAGATGAGTTAGAGAGACAGATGAAAATTATCAGCTAAGAATGAAGAAGAATTAAAGACAAATATTATTAAAGAAATGGCACGGAATTGGAGCAGATTATACGGAAAATTTGATTGATCATGTTTTACAGATTACATGATCTTGTACGTATGAAAAGTTATCCAACTAGGTATCAAACACAGAGAAACTGATTTAATAAAAATTGTGAGGTAGACGATCAATTTTTGTGTAGAAAAAGTTATGGAATGTTTCATCTTTTTTCGATAAAACCATTTCAGATCTTGAACCCCAAACTTCAGAATATGCAGAAGACACAATGCTGGGAATCGTGGCTCAGAATGACCAAATGTTTGTAAATGGTGTTCAAATAGATGATATTTTTAATGAATGAATACAGTTTTTTATAATGATCCTCTATATTCCTTAAAAGTTTTATTCACATCTGATGCACGACGTAGAAAAAAACTTTTCTGAAGAAGGTATCTATCTTAGCCATGTAAAAATTTACTAAGAATCGAAGACTAGAACTTTTTTTAAAAATATTACTTAAAATTAGTTGCTAATGCCGAAATATGAACTCAGCTTACGAGGGAACCTCCCGAGATACCCACTTCCGGTTCAAATGCTTTGTACATGGATCGATAGACCTCAGTGAGGTAGTAAATACCCTAAAAGGATTCGGCCCATGACGCTTGAAGACCCGGTTTTCTGGAAAACCAGTTTTGCAGAAACTCTAAAAAATAACCAAAAGCTTTTCTTAATGTGACATGATTGTGGCCTGCAAATCTCTGATTAAAATGAGACGTCTCTCAGCTG